ACCTTTGCGTTGACATTATAATGTAAACAATCAGAACTGCTAAATGCTTATTTTACAATTTCATACAGCTGATCCAAACAAATTGAATAACATATTTTATACTACAGAACTATGTTGTAGGTTTATTTATGTCATTGATTATGGAAAATTGTGTTGTACGGTATATTTAAATGTAAACAGTTATGAAAACTAGAATGCAGGTCATACTTTTTTTAAGATTCGGTGGCTCTTCTTCTATATATATAAAATCCAATGTATGTTTGTTTGTTTGTCCTTTATTGGCTCCAAAACCGCTCCACAGATTGTAATGAAACTTTCAGGCATTATTAAGCATTATTCAAGGATGGTTTGTGTGAAGTTTGGTGCAGATCCTTCAAAAGGGCTCCGCCCCAGTTGCTCTGGGATTTCCCATGTTAACCTTATGAGCAATCATATTTAAATGGAATTAAAGAATCTTAACAGCTGGTTCAACTAAACAATCTGATTCTGTGATGTTCAATAGCATTAAAAAGTTAATAGGTTTACCAACAGGGTGCAGCACTATTCTTTTTTTTTTATTTATGACAACAGCTAATTCGCAACCAGAATGTGAGTGAGCGTAGCGAACGAGCTAACCTGAAGGCAAGTGAGCGCAGCGAACGAGCTCCAACCTAAAGGTGAGTGAGCCTAGCGAACGAACTTCAATCAGGACGTGATTGAGCCATGCGAACGAGCTCATCTTGAAAATGAACGAGCATTTGACATAAAACCACATTAGGACAGGACAACGTCTGTCGGCCCACCTAGTTGTTTATAAATTTGAACTACTTAACAAAAATGTTTGGATTAGGCGGTATAGTACATCTTACTTACTCTTACTCCTGTGGCCATTGGAAACCTAGGTGGTTTTTGGCCTCGCCAACCATGTGCCTCCAAGCTCTTCTATCCTCTGCCAGCTCCAAGTCTGCTCCCATTCCTCTCAAGTCCTTCGCCACCTCATCAACCCATCGCATTCTTGGTCTACCTAATGGTCTCCTTCCTTCTGGTATACCTCTGAGTACCATCTTTACCATCTCTCTCTCACTTCTACGGTTAATAGTACATCTTCCCGTTGCAAAACACGGGTACAGCAAATAGTAAATAATAAAATACGGCATTTTAAAAAGCAGCAATCCCATAGCCATATTTATTGGGTTATTACAGTTCGATAGGGGTAACACAAGATAAGAATGCCAGTACATAACTATCTAAATCGACGAATGCAGTAAGATCGCAATGATCGCAGTGTGTGGTGTGTAGGCGAGTGTTGAAGTGCTCACCTCCAAATCTGAAGGAATCTGGTCCAATTCCGATTAGATTGGTTCTGGTACTAGATAATCTACTATACTACCACTACTGGTACTTTTCATTGATCTAACAAATGATTGACTCGGGCTTGGACAATTTCCTTGAAAAACATATAAATGCCATTGGCTTACATTTTAAAACCACATAATAAAGAGTTCATGTCAAAAAGAGTTAAGTTGTTGTTGAAGAAGGATCGTACAACCTCATAATAACGATGGTCTTATTGCGGTGATTGCAATAAGATTAATAAGATAAGTTGTAGTTAGTGCAAGTGATTGCATTGTGATGCAATCACTCCATACAGAGCTACAACAGTGACGACAATAGTACGGTGGGTACAGCTTGCAAGATGATTATAATAGTCACCATTGTGTTATAACATAGACACATAGAATAAATATAGACTGTCAAAGGAAAGCTCCGCGATGTGCCGTTAGGAGTGCCGTGGGCGAGGAGCCGTATGCTACCAAACAGACGCTGGCTGCACCGGTGTGCGCCGTAACTACACGGCACTCCTAGCGGTGGACGCAGGAACATGTGCTAACCGCAGCTCTGCCGTCGGTCTATGGTTATTATAGTGGATGCTGTACAATACCCAGAACCCACCGAAGCAGTGTCTTGTACATTAATTGAAACTTGCTTGGTCAATAAAAATGTATTTTTCCTACAGTTACCTAACAATGTACATGTTCTCTCACTGATTTGAGAAAGCAAAGTGTCCAATTCGCTCATCAGTGAGACAATGTTAACATTTTCTCACTCTAATTACTTTGTCCCACTCCAGATTTGCAACGTGAAGGCACGAAATAGTGAGCGCGTAACATGCAGGCAACATCGTATGCGCGCGAAATACGTTTGGCAGCACTGGCTGTAAATCAGCTGGTCAGCTGTTGTACTGTTGTATTCGTCACTTCACATTAAATGTTATATTAAAAGTTCACTTCTGTGTAAAAATAGGTTATGTTTCTTCACCAATTTATTTGTTTTATGGTAACTGTAGGAAAAGTATAATGTGCAACACGAGTTCAAAGTACAATTGCCTCACTCGAGAAACCATTCCTCACTCGCCTACGGCTCGTGAGTAAGGATTTCTCTCGAGTGAGTCAATTGCTTACTTTTCTCACTAGTTGCACAAATAACTATTCTTTTTTATCAATTTACTATTTGATTTGTATACTCACAATGTATAATCGTATGGTGAGTATAATGTGTAGTGGCAGTGGATGATCGCTTGTTATAATAATATTTGAAATTTAGCAGTGATAGTTTAATATATACAAATATATACAACGTGTCCCCAAAAAAAAACTGAACAATTTTAAATTGTTATATAATACGTCCAGGCATACCTAATCTACTTTGAAGGTGATCATATGACAACTGCTCTCATGAAGTTTTGTTCAATATCAATTGTAACTATCAGCTGATTCATTGTTGTCGCTTGAAACTTGAAATTTAAAAACATTGCCCTGTCATTAAGCAGGCACCATGAACGCACGAGAGAAAGCGCAATGCGTTGAGTGGTACATTCAAAGTAAGTCAGATATTGCAGTGCAAAGAACATTTAGAAGACGCTATGGTCGACGTCCTCCATCACGGAACAGCATTCGAGCCTGGTATGACAAATTTATGTTAACTGGAAGCTTACAACATTTAAAAGGTAAAGGTAGGCCAAAAATCCAAAATGAATTGATTGAAAACGTGCAACAATTATTTCTTCACGACCCTCGAAAGTCTGTTTGCTGTGCAGCATGTGAGTTAAATTTGTCAAAATTATAAGTTTATAAGACAGAAGTTTCCGATGTCCGAGAATTGAGGCAAAGAATAAATGCAGCCTTTACTAACATTACTGACGAAATGCGCCATAGAGTGTGGGCTGAATTGGACAGCCGTATTGACTATCTTTTTGCCATCAATGGCAACCATGTTGAAAATCATTAACACATATGATATCAAAAAAACTTAGGAATATTTGTGTCAGTTGAAATGTAATTAGTTCATCGTGTGATTGTTAATAAACTTTTTATAAGTAAATAAAATTGTTCAGTTTTTTTTGGGACACGGTGTATATAATCGCAAATACACTATCATAATTAATTATAGATTATCGCGAGAATACCTCCAACCCTCTATAGATCGTTACGTTGTTCTATTAAAAATTTGGAATAGTAGAATTGAAATAGTAATCACATTATAGCTATAATAAGTAGGCCTATAACTGTACTTATAGCTGTATAATTTATTCATCTCCATCGAAAAATATTAAGTTTTTTCCTAGTTTAGTCCAAGGAATACCGTATTGTACCTGATCTGAACGTAAAGTGTGATAGTTTGATCAATTGATGGGACAAATATAACCATTGTTTGTCGAAAGTAGACTACGGATAAAGAGATTCAGAGGTTTATACATTCATGTCGAAACTGGCGACCAACCACAGGCCGCAGAAGTGGGACCTCTTGATGTAATACGAGTCATTCTCTCCGCATTTGTTGCATTTAGACCTGAGTTTATGACGTATGGTTAAACAGTTGTAAAATGACCATGACTTATATTAGAAAGAATATGGGTACATTGAACTTGTTGAAATTGTGGTCCCTTCTGTTGTTGTGGAACCCTTTGTGGTAATTTCTTGAAGTTACCTACTGCCACCAAGGTCACACTATGCTGCCACCAAATGTTCGGGGCTTGGTTGTAAAAACGTATTGTATTAGGAGATTGTGGTGGAATATTTCAGTGATTTCATCACAAGAAGTAAATATCCCCGCCGCAGGAAATCTGCAGTCTAAGCGAGTTTCCATGTGCCTGATTTGATTTTCAATTAAATGTACTGTATTTCAATAACATTAAGTTTACCTAGGTTTACTGCTACAGGGAGGGTAATAATGTTTTTTTTTTTTTTTTTTTTTTTTTTTGAAAATAATAGTTAAGTTTAAGTTAAATGAATTTCCCAAGTTTAAACCAAATATATCCATAAACAAGCAAACTACAACAGTTTCCCCTTATTCTCCATAATAACGACATGGGAATTTTAAATTTAGATTTTTTCCCTCCGTAACCAATAACTGTAGGCAAAAAATAACACTTATATGGGAAATTCACTAAACAAAATCTCACTATCACCAAAATTAAAATACAAACCAAGATTTTTAAATCAAGATTGAAAAAGAAAATGAATAACGAACATTTGATAATACCCAATATGACACCTAAAGCAATCATATATGAAAGGTAAGTTTCGTTCTAAACTGACACGATAAACCCAATGAGCAGGTCAAAGATGAAGCAAAACGTATAATTTTGTAATTATAATTTATATAATTGTATTAAATTGTTTTAGTTTCATCTTTATTTTTTATAATTTAACTTTGTAAGTATAGTTTATAACCGGAAGTCTTTTATGGCTCCAAAAATTGCTATGTCCTGTAAAACGATGGGCGCGCTCAAAAAGTAGTTCCATTACAGCTCACGTCAGAACTACGTCATACATTTATGTTACTTACCGTTAATAATACCACCCTGGTAACCATGATTTATCAGCTGATATTACTACCTCGGTTATTTTACTGTATCAACACTAGCATTGTTGTCCTTTACATTTTGTTATTTGAAGTGTGAAAAGTACATAAACTGTCTAGATTCTGAGTGTCCTTGCCAATTATTTTAGTGTTGTTTATTAAAATCGTCTACATTAATTATCGTCAACAATGGAAACACGTGTCAGTAAGTATTGCTTACTCTTCCAAGAGTTTCAAGCGCACGAGGGCGGTATTTGGAGCTTGGCTTGCAAGCGGTTAAACGGCACAAATACAGCCAACGTTGGATCTTATCTATCGAAACAGGCCGAGGTCATCGTCACAGGAGGGCTCGATGGGTTGATCAAGATTTGGGAACTACACAATGACGGACTCAAAGAACGTAGCATTTTGGAAGGACACGGTTTAGGAGTTGTGTCTGTAAATTTTAACAAGGACGGAACTCTTATAGCCTCGACCGGGATGGACGCGAGTCTTAGAATTTGGAATGTCGCAAAAGGCAGTTGTGTAAGTAAGATGGACATAGCTCCTAGTGACACAAGCAACGTTACGTTCTCTCACGACGATAGATACGTCGTGACAGGTAGCCATCACGGGAAGCTTAGAATGTATAACGTCAAGACGAAACTGCAGGAACGTCAACTGGTCAATCCAAGAGAAAGATTTTTGCTAGCCGTTGCCGTCAGTCCAGACGGAAAACACGTCGCATCCGGAGACGAGGACGGGTTCATCTACATCCACGAATACGTAACAGGGAATCTTGTGCAGAAAATGGCGAAGCATGCGAAACCGATTCGCTGTTTGATTTTCTCTCCAGATTCAAAACTGTTGTTGACTTGCTCAGACGACAATCAAATGAACTTCACCGACATGGTGTCAGGGAATACCACATCTATTTGTGGACACTCTTCTTGGGTTTTGTCGGCTGCGTTTTCAAACGATGGAAGATTCTACGCTTCGGCGAGTGCTGATAAATGTGTTAAAATTTGGGATTTCGCCACTCATCGGTGTCTACACACTTTCAGTGACCATCTAGATAAGGTTTGGGGTGTCGGTTTTAACTCGGAGTGCAATCGGGTCGTTTCTGTTGGTGAAGATGGGTCTGTTATTGTGTCTGGGATCCCAACCTATTTTTAGTGTTAAGTGTTAGGCCTATAAAATAGGTTTCTGTAATGGAATTTCTAAAACTTTTAAAATCACATTTTCAGTTTGTAGCCCATTTTAGCGTATGTTTTGTATTACTTATCAAATGTGGTTTTGAAGAAGCTTTGTCCATTAAGTGTTGTGTAAAATAAAAGTATTATGTGTCTGTTCGTAAACTTAATTTATACCTCATCAAAGTTACTATTCGTCGAGATTACTTATCTGATAAAGTTGTATGATGTCAAAATCTTTTACAAACATTAACTTGACAATGAACTAAATAACGACTATTCTTGATTCTGAGAGGATGTTTTGTAAAAAAATAGACTAGGTGTACAGTGCTGTTGCCAGTTTGCAATATTGAGCTGGACTACCATATAAATCCAATAATTTTTCAAAGTCAATGCTACATTTAGTTAATATAAATGGGATTTATACTTGCAGTATCATAAGTCAATGCTAAATCTAGTTCACGTAAATGAGATGTCTCCTTACAGTATCCAAGTCAATTTCACATAAATGGGATGTGTGTGTTTAAATGGGATGGGGTTTCAGTACCGCATCCAAAGTCAATGCTTCATCTGTTTTTCGTAAATGAGATCTCTACTTGCAGTATCTTAAGTCAATGGTAGGCTATATTTGGTTCACAAAAATGGGATGGCTATTGAGTATCTAAAGTCAATTGGGGTATTAGCCTAATTCCGTCGACCATAATTAGTTATTCATTTTGTAGTAAATTATGCTCAAAGATATTAATCCGATTGCTATTTTCTTTTGTTCTGAATTTTGTAATGCACTAGTTTAGATGATTAATCGTCTAACATATGTTATGACTCTTTTGTTTACCTTTTTTGTTCTTGCTAATAATTTTATAGCACAACTAGCTGTAACCCGCGGGCTTTGCCCCGTTTAACTTCTTAATTTTCAAGATTATCTCGTTCGCACGCTAACTCGCCTCCAGGTTGAAGTTCGTTCGCTACGCTCACTCACCTTTTGGTTGCAAATTAGCTGTTGTCATAAATGTAAAAGAAATAATAGTGCTGCACCCTGTTGGTAATCCTTGTAACTTTAATGCTATTGAACATCATAGAACAAAACCAACTTGTTTAATTGAAACAGCTTAATTGAAACAGCTGTTAAGATTCAATAATTCCATTTCTCATCAGGTTAACATGGAAAACTCCAGAGCCACTGGGGTGGAGCCCGAAAGGATTTTTGAAATAAGAATATGCCTATATGTTAATCAGGAATGTGAGCTATCATCATGCCAAATTTCAGCCCAATCCGACCAATATTTTTCGCGTTCACTTGTCACAAACATACATCCATACATTCATACATCCATACATCCATACATCCAAACTTTCTCACTTATAATATTAGTAGGATGTTAAATTTCTAAAAGTTTGAATTCATGTAGGGAAAGCCCTGTTGTCGATTTGTACCATTTCAGATTTATACCTTCCCATGGTTAGTTACTATGACTGTGCTAAATTTCGTGCAGATCGCTTCAGCCGTTCAGGAGGAGTATTTGTAAAACAAAAGCAGGAGTGTAGTATAAGAGCTTAGCTCGCTTTGCTCAATAAACAGTTCCTGCGTATCACGTACACGTCTCCATTTTAACTGTGAATCTATCGTATACTTAGACAAGTAAGACTAGTGTATGCCAACAATTTTTTTTCATCTTTACTTACTTATTGACCCGTTACACTTAGTGATATCTTAAAATCTACCCTTTTTAAACCAGCTATAAGCCAAGCCTCAACCGCCATGTCACTTGAATTGGTGCGTGATTCGAGTGCGCCCGGAAAACCTAAGCTCTCGTTACATCTCTTGAAATTAGTGATCTCAATCAACTAATGGTGATATTTCACTCGAACCTTGCTTTGTATTTGGAGTTATGATTAAAGTCAGAACAAAAAAGGTGCACAACAATTAGATGGTCATAATTTTTCTCAATATTCTACGAATTTAATATATTTTAATTCAATTAATTCTTGATGGTCCACTGAGAAAAAATAAGGGATTTGGGGCTTAAATTCCTTGGAGCAACCACCTCAACGCATCGTATCACGATTGAGACGCAGTCTTCCTTCGACAAAGCATACAGTAAAACGGCTCTTTGTCCCTTCAGTCCACGGTCCGTCTCCTCCGGAGCACATGAAAAGAGCCCGAAATATTAATCCCCAAAAAGATTCACTAATCTTAAGTATGGAAAGAGCCCGGGTCTCCACAAGTACCTGAGGAGGAGGACGCTGACTCGTGTTCTGAAAAGTGTTGTGTTTGGTTGGGTTAGGTTAGGTAAACAGACTATATCTTTTAGTAATGTAAATATCTTTTAATAATCTATATTTTAATAATGTATCTTTTAACAGTGTATCTTTTAATACTATAAATAAACTCATGCATTTCGACTGTGTTATTAGTTCTTTCTCCTTTGAAGACCCGTTGTGAAAGTTCTAGGAAGAGCCCGGGCTCTTTTCGCACCGTCCTGGGAGGGACCTTGGAGTTCCGGGCGCTTTTCAAACTGCCTGAGTTTTTGGGCTCTTTTCATGTGCGCCCGTCTTCTCCTATTGACGGTCTATCAGGGTCAAAGGCCTCGATTTTCTTAGTTCAAACTTACCAGCCTCAAAAGGAGAAAAAAATTGATGTCCCTCCAGCAAAAGAAAAAAGGTCAACCGGGGACTATCGTCTATCGTAAGTGGGTCATCACTTACAGAATGGAATTCCACCTTGGCAGGAGGAAAACTCAATAATAGAAAGCCAATCAGCTCTATTATACAAGAGGCGTTGGTAATGATCAGACCTTGCCTCCAAGGCCGAGCCTCGCCAGACCTGTGCTGAGAGCTCACGTGCTACGAGTCGGCTCCGGTTTTGGACATTTCAATTGTAAACAGGTGCTTAAGTGGTATCAGGCGATTGTCAAACAGCCACAGAGTTGCAAATGAGTGCTCCTTGCATGTTACAGAAGATGGCACGGCACGGGTGGGCTGAATGGGCTGTCCAAGAGTGCCATTGTCTCTCATTCATACTTTCGGCTACGTCCAAATTCGCCAACATTTTTGGGGTCGTTTCTGATGTCCAAATTCACCAACTTTCTACCTGGAGCAGGTACGATATTTCTCCCGGCGGGCGGGGAAGGAATTCCGAATAGTTTGCCCTCGCCTGCTCCGTCTCGTCTCGGCGAGAGTGTACTGCTTAGCCCTAATAGTACTGTTTAAGCTGTGATTGTTTCAGGCAGCTTTAGGTTAGGTTAGGTTAGGTTAGGTTTGGTTAGGTTAGGTTAGGTTAGGTTAGGTTTGGTTAGGTTGGGTTTGGTTAGGTTAGGTTAGGTTAAGTTAGGTTAGGTTAGGTTAGGTTACAGTACACTCTCGCCGAGACGAGACGGAGCAGGCGATGGCAAACTATTCGGAGGGAATTCCTTCCCCGCCCGCCGGGAGAAATATCGTACCTGCTAAAGGTAGAAAGTTGGTGAATTTGGACATTAGAAACGACCCCAAAAATGTTGGTGAATTTGGACCTGGCCATACTTTCAGCCCATACGACGCTGATTCACAATAGGTTAATGTACGAGTAGCATACAACATTCTTTTAATGTGCGATTATTTGATTCAGTACGGTGATTGACTGCATTGGTGGAATTCAATGGTTTCCAAGAATTAGAATAGGTTTGGCTAATAGGATATATGGGTAACGTTTACATTGTCCCTTAGATTCTTAATACAAACAATATAATACTCGTATGCGTAATTTGCATATCCCACTTACCATCTTTTTGTGTATTTACCGTCTTGTGACTAAAACAGCATAAGAGTAGGCCTAAATATATGTTTTAAGTGTTATAAGACGTTTATTTTATTTACTTTCAGTAATTTTGATATGTCTAACAAATATTAGTAATCGTTGTTTTATATATTACCAAAACCGTCGCACATATGAAGCAGTTCTGTCATGGCCAAGGTGACCGATGCATTCAAAGGCGGAAGAAAAATCGCCGGAAGATTCATTCTTATTCAGAATAAGAAATTCATATCCTGCGTCTCGACGGATTTTTGTATTTTCAAGGTCACGTATGAATGTTATATGAATTATGATCTCTTTGAATGAGTAGGCTTGAACTTTTAGTGAAGTAGACAGCATAAGCTACGGTATGGAAGTATATCCACACCGTAGTATTTAGGAAAACCCATTCTTATACTTTATACTTTTGCGGGTGATTGGGGTGGTAAATTATTCTAAACTAATAAAGAGACACAATAACTAACTGTCATTATATGACATCAAATTAATCGATACATATAGGAAGAGGACTGCAAAAATAAAATAACTATTTTCCTCACGATACAAGCATTTGCACGTTACAAATTGTAATCGATAACACATTACTCAGGTTGACTTTCATTTCAATAATTGATACCTGGCGAAGAATTAGACACTTGTAGATAAGGAGGGTGGGTGGGTGGTATGTTTTAAGTGTTGATATCAGTGACAGATAGGCAGATACTCTTTGATACCAGTGACAAAGAGGTAGGCATTTGTAAATAAGGAGGACCCGTGGCGTGGTGTCAATTTAAATATTTTTTAGCGTGTTGTAAATGTTTATATCCATGACAAATAAGAATATACAGATTGACACCAGTAACATACACCTAGATACTCTATGATAGCCGGGACAAAGAAGTAGCCACTAGTGTAAGGAGGACGGGTTGCATGTCAGCTGTTCCCAACGCACCACGCATTCTCATTATACATACGTTCATGGTCTAGATCTGGAATGACGCAAAATGCCGTTTACAATTCCGAACCGCTACCTGATATTTTTAGATCAAGGCGGATATTTTTGGTTTCCAAGTTGAAGTGATGGATTTTCCTCGTGCAGATATGGATTTTTGTACAAAATATAGTTTTGAATTTTTCGTTAAACCGCACTATGGGATAATACTGTACGTTTCAACAATAGACAAATAGAATTAAATGTACCGACAGCAGTGCTGCATTTATCATTAGTTCTAGCGTCCACCGCTGGGAGCTCCGTGTAGTTTCTGCGCACGAGAAACGTAACTACACGGCACACCCATCGACATATAAAACTAACTGGATTGCGCGCAGGCCGTAAGGGTCGTGTAGAACTTTCCGAGCCAATACAGGTGTGTATCGTGGTTGCCG